CTCTCTCTCTCTCCCTCCCTCCCTCAACAAGCTCCAGTGTTATTTTCATCTCGGACATGTGAGCTCCGTGGAAAACTCCGTCACAAACATATACAGTTTATTTATATATATTTATATATTTATATTTATATATATATATATATATATATTTATACATATATGTATATATATATATATATCTATATATATATATATATATATATTTATACATATATATATATATATTTATATATATATGTATATATATATATATATCTATATATATAAACTGTATATGTTTATTCTGCACATATTTGGATGGGAACACATTCGCTTTGGAGATGAGATAAAAAAGCCTATTGGCGCGTTTACAGGTGTATTGTAATGAAGTGTGAGTTATAATGTACATGTTTGTGTTGTAGGTACCAGGTGATCAGCACGCCCACAGATTTCTTCATGGTGATGGAGTACGTGTCTGGAGGTGAGCTGTTTGACTACATCTGCAAACATGGACGGGTAAGACGCTTCATCAGCTGACTGGTAAACAGTAATGGCGGTGTGTAGTGTGTAGTGTGTAGTCTTTAGTACCTTTCATTAATAATTATGGGATTAGTACTTGGCAGGTGTGATGTTGGTGTTTCCTTACGTTCTTTCTTCCCTAAACTCACAGCTTTACTTTTACCCTGTAGAGACATCAAAATACTGTCTGGATGCACATATATTTACTCTTTGCTGCTTTCCTCACTGTTCTTAACTTCAGTGATTCATAGTTTATAAAAATGTGTTTGACATCAGCGTCCCCAGACCCCATCGCTGCTCCACCTGTCTGTCACAGCTTTATTTTAACACTGACGCTTTACTCACCTTCAGCGTTCACAAGATACGTATGCCTCCGTGCTGTCATGGCCAGAGGAAGTATGTTTTCGGGTTGTCTGTCTGTCTCGTTCTCATGAACGGGATATCTCAGGAACACCCGGGAAGGGAATTCCTGAAATCAAATTTGGCACAAAAACGTCCACCTGGATTCAAGAATGAACTGATTAGAACTTGGTGGTCAAAGTCTCAATAATTCATATGCTGATTATGACGTTTAGGCAACAAAACCACTCAGAAAAGAGCGTTGACATCAACTTGGCTGACGAGCAACTCACGTTAACTGATAACAATTAAGATTCAAATTCTTTAAAGTATTAGATAAAACACAAACTACGAAGAATGTTCCTCGGTTAATATATATATATAAAGCTTTAATTCTATTATGTCGCATTTTCATTATGAGGCTTAAGTGCACAGAAACTTAATTACTCAAAATATAAGGTGACTTCATGTGGCAACCAAAAGTTAGTCTCTGTTTATCAGATAAAAGAGGAAGTGCTAACATTTTGGATTGCTTGACTGGTTGGCGGAGGCATGCGATATCTTGTTTAGATGAAGCTCGGAATTACACACACACACGCACACACACGCACACACACACACACACACACACGTTCAAGACAGAAGGACTCGCCCTAAACAAGACACAACCAGAGCAACACCATCCAATCATGTCCATTCATGGTGTGTCTTTCAGGTGGAGGACACGGAAGCCCGCCGTCTTTTCCAGCAGATAATCTCGGCCGTGGACTACTGCCACAGGCACATGGTGGTCCACAGAGACCTGAAGCCTGAGAACGTCCTGCTGGATGCCAACAAGAACGCCAAGATAGCCGACTTCGGTAGGATCCCCAGAGCCCGGAGCTACAGCCAGAGAGGAAGAGACGGAGGGATGGGCCTGGCAGAAGAATTGTTTGGGGAATTTAAGAAGAGGGAAAACGGGGGGCTGAGTACTTGGACAGTGAACAGTGTTGAAGGGAACATTTGTTGCAGAGTCATAGGAGAAGGCATAATTATACACTTATATCAAAGCGTGAAATCACAATCGCGCACCTGTTAACCTCATCAGTAAATGAGAATTAATTTTTCACCGATCGCACTTTGTTATCGGTCGTGTTGTTGGTGTTGTTTGCCGATTGGTTGAGAGACCGTGGCTGATGCAATACGACCAGGAACGAGGGAAATATGTTCACAAAACACACGAAGGGCCCTTGTGCACAGCGGGGTTGGCATAGGGTGGCCAGGTCTCATATCATGTCTGGCAGGAAGCCTTGAGGCCCAGTGTCATCTGATAGGGAAGGAAAAGCGGGTGGGGGGGTGTACAGCAGTGTTTTGGCTGAGAGCAACAGGGAGAGTGTTAAAGGAACAGGGATGAAAGATAAAGGGAGGGGCAGAGCGTCTGGTGTTTAGTGTTTGGCAGAGAGAGAGAGGCTCATCCAATTAGATGAGCTTTGTGTTTTGTACAGGAGGATAAAGATATCAGCCGTGTGTCCACCGTGTACGGCTCTCACCCTCCTCGCTCCGGGGCCATGCTCAGATTGACCAGAGGATCAATAGCAATGATGTGATAACAGGGGGGGGGGGGGTCCTGTCGGAGTAGAGACAGAAGGGTGTTAATGTGTCTTGTGTTGGGCCAACAGGTCTGTCCAACATGATGTCAGATGGGGAGTTCCTACGGACGAGCTGTGGCTCACCAAACTATGCTGCTCCAGAGGTCATCTCAGGAAGGTGTGTGTGTGTCTGTGTGTGTGTGTGTGTGTGTGTGTGAGAGATCACATGTGCGATCAAGGCTGCAATGATAATCACGTCTGAAGGGTAATTGTTTAATCACCGGCTTTAGCAACTAAATAGTTTGGAATTCAAACTGAACGAAACCAAACAAACAAAAGTTTACATTCAGTGTTACATTTGCAAAGTACTTTTAAGTCGTGCATTACCAGCAAATACTGCAGAGAAGAAGTGGACGTGGTCACTGTGACGTCACCCATTGGTCTGACCATATTTGGACGAGAGGGAGGAGCTGGTGAGGGATACCCATCGCTACCGTCCAGTCTTCTTCGCTGCATTTCTTGGCACTTTACCGCCACCTGTAGATCAGTGGACTACAGTGCAACCGTAAGAAGGGAATGTGTATTATGTCACTGACACGCATTCATGTGTCCTCATGAAAGCCAGAATAAGAAATGCATCTTTATATAAAGACAGTTAAATCTGCCACCTACAGGAGTAACTCAGTGTGAATCTGTTTGTCCGTTTCACGTCACATCTCCTCCTCCCTCTGCCAGGCTCTATGCCGGCCCAGAGGTGGACATCTGGAGCTCGGGGGTGATCCTGTACGCCCTGCTGTGCGGCACTCTGCCCTTCGACGACGAACATGTCCTGACGCTGTTCAAGAAGATCAGAGGAGGGGTCTTCTACATGCCGGAGTACCTGACTCGCCCCGTGGCCTCGCTGCTCACGCTCATGCTGCAGGTGGACCCTCTAAAGAGAGCCACCATCAAAGACATCAGGTGCTTCCCCTGCTCGCTTTATTTTGATCTTCTTTCTTTTGTTAAACATGTTAAATCATTGTGAAGTGTTGTACTTTAGGCACCGTACTGTGCGCAGGATTGGTGTCTCCTCTTGTCTTCTGCTAGCTCTGTAACATTTAAAAGGTCACCCATCTGAAGTGTCGTTACACAAAGCAGCCCTCTGCGTTTGACGACAGTTTGACTTCATTCAAGTTTAAATGTCACATACGGTGACATTTGAAGATGAATCCCCAACACGTAGCCCCATTAGGCCTGGTTTAACTTTGACTATTCTCTCCTCTGTCAGGGAACACGAGTGGTTCAAGCAGGACCTGCCGGGCTACATGTTCCCAGAGGACCCCTCATACGACTCCTCGGTCCTGGACGAGGAGGCCGTGAGGGAAGTGTGTGAGAAGTTTGAATGCACCGAGTCAGAGTTTGTGTCCAGCCTCTACAGCGGGGATCCACAGGTAAACAACAGTGTTCATGTTTCTTCTGTTTATTAAACTGTGACTGTTATATTAAAGTCTGACGCCACAAGATTATGTTTTGTATTTTCATGTTTGGAGTCGTAATCTACTCAAGAGATCACATAGTAGTCAAATAATTTGACATTGTTCGATCGATCATCCTACCGCCAACAGGATTATAACAATCAGCTTTAATTTAAAACCTAGTTCAAGGGTTACTGTGGCTTTAAGACCTGGTTAAGAGAGGAACTGAAAATAATGTGGGTTGCCTTTAAATCCCCCGTGACTCCACCAAAGCAGGGCACTGTTTAAACATGATTTATTAAGGAAACAACCCCGCCCCAAATAACAGCACCAGAAAATTGACTGAATGTCCACAGGATTGTAGATGATTTAGTAGTAGAACAGAAGTAATCCAACAAAAAAAAGGTTTAATGTCCTTCCTTCAAAATGTAAAAATACAAACCAGGATAAACCAATGCATTACGAACAGAGACACAGACAAACTCACAATCTTTACGGTTTCCCCGCTGTCTTCAGTCGGTCGAGGCGCCGCCATACAAGGCCGCCCACCTTCCTCCGTCTCTCCTCACAAAATACAAAATCAAAATTCCCTCCCCAAACATTTCCCTTTCCCGTTCTTCTCCGGGCCACGCCCCCTCACACCTGTGAGGAACACCCGAGTACAAATTCTGATGACAAAATAAAACGATTGTGTTCGAAGTCGTGCGATGTAGTGAATCACATGACCCCAGTTTCAATTATCTAGTTAAACTTTCATTCATATCATATCAGTGATAAAAGATAAGGTGTTTATGGAATGTTGCCTAAATAGCTTTTCCTAACCACTGCTGCCTCTGTGAAGGTGGCATTTTAAATCTGATGCCTGCAGTGCGCCGCAGGAGCATCAATCAACACGCTTCAGTCTTCTATTGACTCTCCGTCCTCCCTGTCCATGCAGGATCAGCTGGCAGTGGCCTATCACCTTATAATAGACAACCGGCGCATCATGACCGAGGCCAGCGAGTTCTACCTGGCCTCCAGTCCTCCGCAGTGCTCCTTCATAGAGGAGGGCATGCCGCTGCCCCCCGGGGTCAAACCCCACCCGGAGAGGATGCCTCCGCTGCTGGTCGACAGCCCCAAGTCTCGCTGTCCTCTGGACGCGCTCAACACCACGCGGCCCAAACCGCTGGCGGTGAAGAAGGCCAAGTGGCACCTCGGGATCCGGAGTCAGAGCCGACCCTACGACATCATGGCCGAGGTGTACAGAGCGATGAGACAACTCAGCTACGACTGGAAGGTAATCTGACACATACACATACATATATACATATATACAGTATATACATATATATATATAGTATATACATATATACATATATACAGTATATACATATACATATATACACATATACATATACATATATATACATATATACATATACATATATATACATATACATATATACATATATACATATACATATATACAGTATATACATATACATATATACAGTATATACATATACATATATACAGTATATACATATACATATATACAGTATATACATATACATATATACAGTATATACATACACATACATATATACATATATACAGTATATACATATACATATATACAGTATATACATATACATATATACATATATACATATACATATATACATATATACATATACATATATACATATATACAGTATATACATATATACAGTATATACATATACATATATATATATATATATATATATGTATATATATGTATATGTATATATATGTATATGTATATGTATATATATATATATACACACATACACTTACAGTACATACTTGGGTCTACACACAAACCAGACTGTGCTTTGTTTTGCGTTGTAGGTGGTGAACCCGTATCACCTGCGAGTGCGGAGGAAGAATCCGGTGACGGGAAACTTGGTGAAGATGAGCCTGCAGCTGTACCAGGTGGACAGCAGATCCTACCTGCTGGACTTCAAGAGCATCGACGGTTGGTGACCAACAACACCGCTTTCACAACGTTTCTAATTTGTGATTGTACATACACAAATGTAAATGCATGTTTGCTGGTGCTGGCAACCTATTTTTAGAAAGAAAAGATTAAAAATGATCTGATGCCAGTTATCAGGAGAGCAGGTGGTCATGCAAAATATAAATTCTAGTTCAACAGACAGAATAAGAACACTTAAAGGTGCTTAATTTGATATTCAGAGCGTTAATATAGCAGCCAACACGTATTTGTTATGTAAAGATATCGTGGATTAATGTCTACCAGCTCTGCTCTGTTAGCATCGTTAGCTGCTAGCTGCTGGCTCAGCCATCGCCATGTTGAGAGCCGTGTGGAGGCGATCCCTCAATCATATACATATATACTCTGAATTTGGACTTTAGCACCTTTAAATATGACATATTTAGAATTTATTTTAATTTTATTTTATCTTCTCCCTCCCGCCCCCCCTCCCTCCAGATGACATCATTGAGGCGGTGGGCTTTAAATCGGGTTCGTCCACTCCTCAGAGGTCGGGCTCCACAGCCGGCCTCCACAGACCCAGACTGAGCATCGACTCGGCGAGCCCGGCCGTCGACGTGCCCCAGCTCAGCTCCTCCCTCCCGGGGTCCCTGTCCGGCAGCGCCCCGCTGCTCACCCCCCGTCAGGGATCACACACCATGGACTTCTTTGAAATGTGCGCCAGTCTGATCACCACACTGGCACGCTGAGACCTGAAGACCCCGAACCTTCGCTGGAACCTGGATGTCCTGGGAGGGGGGGTTTAAAAGCCAGATCTGGGATAAAGGGAGTGCAGACGTTCGGAGTGACTTCCTCTCTCTGTCTCCTCTCCAAAGCCTGTCACCTCACCTTAAGGAGACAGAGAGAGGAATCCTTTTTTTTTTTTTAATTTAAAAAATGTTCTTATTCGGTCACAGTTCTTGAGTCTAGAGTTATGGAATTCTTATGAAAACTGATCCTGGGACTGTAATCTGTGAACCAGCGAGGTGAGAGGAAGTCACGGTTCACCGTCACTCCTCCCACAAATACCCTCAATCTATTATCTGCTGAAATGCCATCACCCGCCATCATACCTAATGGTGGGGGACCCTGCTGAGTTCCCCCAGACACTGATCAGAGGTCAGTTTTGCCTCTTGTCTTATATTTTGATGAAGGCACCGGTTGTTAAAATCGACACTAAATCCGTATTCTGAGGGAACGTCAACACATGAACAATTGATATTATATGGTTTGTAAAGAAACCGCTTTTGTTATCCATGTATATTATATTTATACTACAATCATAGAGCGCTATACCAAATATCTTTATACACCAGAAAGAAGATGATTATTATTTAGATATCAGATCCATATTTATTTTTCAGAGACTGTTTTCTAGAACCTGTAGTTAAATATTATTTGAGCACCGCATCGACGTAGAGCTTTAAATAGATGGTAGAAGATGAATGAGCCCAGAGGCAGCAGGATAGCACTCAGTGGACTGTGTCAGTGTATTTAAAGGATACTTGCACAACATGCATATCTCTGCTAATGATTCTGCTAATGATCATAAATACGCAACACACACAATCCTTACTAGTCCTTAAGAAATGACAAGTTGAGCAGCTGCTAACATGCTGCTCCCTCACGCATGTACAGAATGTCATTGAAAGCCTGTAATATCCGATGTCTGTCCTTCTGTCACAGACAGAAGCCATGTGCTGTTTGAAGTGGAATTTTTTAGGGTTACAATTATTAACGTTATTATATATTTTCAAGCCTTTTAAAATGAGAAAGATGTGCATCAGAAATGACAGCCCAATATGAGGTCTTAAATTGTATTTTATCGTTTTCTCTGAGAAAATGTTAATTTTCAACTGATGCCACCAATCATGTTAGCAGCAATAACCTTAATGAGTGTGTACGTGATGGGTAGATAACGAGGCGATGATGATAATCGAGAAGAGAGGAAGATGTGCTTGCTAAGGTAACACATCTAATAAATTGGAATCGATACAGAGAAGATTAGCATGGCCCCTGCGAAAGGATGACACGCAAATTCGTGAAGCGTTTCCACATTTAAAAAAAAAAAAAAAAAAAGACAGATCCATGTGAGATGGTGTGCATCAGCCGCAGGGACAGAACAAAGACACAGAAACCTTTCTCCAGTCGCCTTAAAGAACGCAACACAGCAGCGCTGTGCACGTGTTTATGGAGAGAGAGAGAGAGAGAGAGAGAGAGAGAGAGAGAGAGAGAGAGAG